CAGCATCAGCATCACTATCATCATCATCATCATCATCATCATCATCATCATCATCATCATCATCATCAGCATCATCATCGTCGTCATCAGCATCATCAGCATCATCAGCATCAGAATCAGCATCAGCATCAGCACCATCAATAGCATCCAAAGCAACAGCCGCATCGACATCGACATCGGCATCATCACCATCATCAGAATCATCAGTATCATCATCATCATCATCCTCATCATAATCGCCGTATCATCATCAGCATCATCATCATCATCATCCTCAGCATCATCATCAGCATCATCATCATCATCATCATCATCCTCATCCCCATCATCATCATAATCGCCGTATCATCATCGCCGTATCATCATCAACATCGGCATCGGCATCAACACCATCATCATCCTCCTCAGCATCATAATCATTAATATCATCACCGTCATCATAACCGCCGTCCTGGTTATCATCACCATCAGGATCATCATTACCATCATCAGCATCATCATCACCAGCATAACATCAACAACAACATGGTCATGATAATCGGCATGAGCAGCAGCATCATCATCAGCCTCATCACCAGCAGCATCATCATCAGCATCATCACCAACCGCATCAGCATCATCAGCATCGTCATCATCACCATCATCATCAGCATCGTCGTCATCATCATATGCATCATCGTCAGCAGCATCAGCATCCGTATAATCAGCATTAGCATAATCAGCATCATCAGCATCAGCATCATCATCAGTATCGGCAGCCTCATCATCCTCAGCAGCAGCAGTATCAGCATTATCATTAGCATCATCAGCAGCAACATCAGAATCATCATCCTCACCATCAGCATCGTCGTCATCAGCATCATGATCAACATCGCAATGTTTAACATACGCACGAGCATCAGCATGACCATCATCGGCAGCATCAGCAGCATAATCAACAACAGCAACAACAACAACAACATCATCATCATCATCATCAGCAGCGTCATCATCATCAGCAGCATCAGCATCATAAGCATCATCACCATCGTCATCGTAAACGGCATTATCATAATCAGGATCGCCCTCATCGTCATCATCACCCCTCATCAGCATCATCGTCACCAGTATCGTCACCATCATCATCAGCAGCATCAGCATCAGCATCATCAGTATCCCCACGATCATCATCATCATCATCCGCATCAGCACCATCACCGTCAACATCATCATCAGCAGCAGCATCATCATCAACAACATACGGAATTCGTCGTTCTCCTCATCCTCATCCTCATCATCATCCCTCTTCCAATATGCTCCTAATCATTTTTCATCTGTCCTCCCTCTCCTCCTTCATCCGTCTACATCATCATCCTCCTCCCTCTTATCCTCCCCCTCATCCTCCTCCTCGTCGTCTTCCTCGCCCGCTACACCAGACCCTCCTCCTCCTCAATATGCTACCCGTCCTCATCATCATCCTCCTCTTCCTCCGTCTCTTCCTCCTCCTCATCCTCCTCATCCTCCTCCTCCTCCTCCTCCTCCTCCTCCTCCTCCTCCTCCTCCTCCTCCTCCTCCTCCCTCCCTCCTCCCCCTCCCCGTCCTCCTGCTCCTCCTCCTCATCCTCCTGCTCATCATCTTCCTCCTGCTCCACCTCCTCCTCCCCCTCCTCATCCTCCTCCATTCAATTTTTTCCTTATAAATAACTTCCCCCTGTCGCACCCCGAGGCCAGCGGGGCGTTTCGCCTGAGACTTCCTCATCATGTATGTCCCTGAAACTTCAAAAAGTGCAACAGGTTCAGATATGGCGGGCGGGTGGTTCTCAGCATGTGATTCTCGCCTTAGCGCCGCGCACATTCGTCTTAAAATATTGAAAGCGTGTCACATTTTGAGGACTGTTCCATTTCAAAATGCGGTTATTGTCTTAGCGCCGCACACGGTCTCTTTTCTAAATTGCATGAACCCCACGGAATGAGGACGATTCCTTCTTAAAATGTGGTTCCTGTCTTAGCGCCGCGCACATCCGTTTCAAACATTAACAAGAGCCCCAGCGGTCCCCCATGATCAGGGGAACAGGGGTCAGGGTTACGAGGGGTCAGGGTTACGAGGGCGCAACAGGTACGTTCATTCGCGGTGATGAAGTCTCAAGCATGGCGTGCTGGCACGATTCAAGATCGCCAAACGCATTAGTCCGATTGATCCGTGGTGTCGGAAACCCGAGAACAATGTGCTGGCACGTTTCAGGGTCTTCAAACGGTTGCCTTCCAACGACGCAGCTCCCTCAACGGAAATGAACCAGTGCGGGGGGGCCTACGAAGAGGGTGCTTGCAGGGCGGGTGTATCCCCACATCGTTGGTTACGCTCGGGTTCGCATTGGTCCTCCTCCTCCTCCTCCTCCTCCTCCTCCTCCTCCTCCTCTCCTCCTCCTCCCTCCTCCTCCTCCTCCTCCTCCTCCTCCTCCTGATCCTGCTCCTCCTCTCCTCCTCCTCCTCCTCCTCCTCCTCCTCCTCCTCCTCCTCCTCCTCCTCTTCCTCCTCCTCCTCCCCTCCTCCTCCTCTCCTCCTCCTCC